CCGCTGAGACATCCTCACAATCTGCTCTCCAAGCGAAGGATGTTGGGCCCAGAAACAAGTAAACCGCCTGAGACATCCCCACAAAATGGCCGCGAACGAGCCCGAGAGGAGGAGGGAGGAGGAAGAGTAGGAGGCGTCCAAATAATAACAAGAACCCCATCTTAGGATATGGGGAACAAAAAAAAATGCGAAACGAAGTCGAAGATCAACTGAGCATCGGGGATCGAGGGTCGATGGAGGATCGGGAATCCATGGAGGATCAAGGCTTAATGAGAACCCCTCGAAGGCCAACCACCGCCGTCTCAACTCGCCCTCCTCTGGCGCTCGGCCTGGCGGCAGGGCCGTTCGAGGCCCGCGCCGGGGGCAGAGAGGGCACCGGCCTGCGCGGTGCGGCGCGTAGCCTGCCGCGCCCCATCAGTAGAGGCCTCGTCGGGCACTGCGGGCCTCTCCGCCAGAGAACGGCCTGCCCAGGGGGGGGGGGGAAGGGAGGAGGAGGAAGAGGAGGAGGAGGAGGAGGAGGAGGAGGAGGAGGAAGAGAAGGAGGAGGAGGAGAAGGAGGCGGAGGAGGAGGAGAGGGGGAGGAGGAGGAGGAGGAGGAAGAGGAGGAGGTGGTGGTGGTGGTGGTGGAGCCGTTGGGGGCAAAGGTCAAGCCACTTGTGACACTAGCTTCCCCTAGGTACTGTATGGAAGCATTCAAGGATGGGACCTTTGCCTGTCCCCCCCTGCCGCCTGCGGCGAGCGCCGCAGCTTCATACTGCAAGCGCTGCCGCTTCGGCAGAGGCTCCCGACGCATTTTAAACCTCAAAACTCGGGGGGGGGTGCGGTTACTCCTTCATGGAGCGAGCCGCACACCCCGTACCGCTGAACCTCTGGCCCCTAGAGGCCTGGGAGGAAAAAAAGAAAGGAAAAAAAGAATCGACGGTCGCTGACTGAGCCTGCACCCCCCTCGCGCCCAGGGCTGTCCTGCTGGCTGTACGCATACAGCAGCAGCCCGTACACGGCGACGGTCGGGCGGGGCGACGGGGCGAGGGGGGAGGGAGGCAAGCGGCAGCAGCAGCTCTCGAGGGGAGGGAGACACGCTGACAGCTGGCACTACTGCCCCTCATCCCTCTCACTGCTCCCGCTTGGACGTGAGATCTCCCAGTCGAATCTCTGCACTCCGTAGTCTGACTCATCAAGCACCCTGATGATACTATGCAGACGCTCCAGCTCATCTGTCAGGTAGCTAATCTGACTGTCTAGGTTGCGCCTGGTGGTGACGCGATCTGCCTCCAAGTGCGCGTCATCCACAACTGGGCTCATGATATTGTCTCTCTGGAGCTGGATGTAGCTGAGCTGGCTGTTCAACGTACTGCACTGCCCCAGAATGATAGAGTAGTGATCCCTCAGAACGCGGCCCGTCGACAGGTGTGCCTGCTGCGCAGCATGCACACGGCTCAGGTCATCGTTCTGGTTCTGGTTCCTGCGACCTGGTGCTGCCTTCGAGCGGATCGGGCCAGGAGGACCAGGAGGGGGGCCTGTCGGCTGGCGAGGTACTGGCACTGCATTCGCACCCGTAGCAACAGCTGGCGCAGCCTTCGCTGCGGTCGCTCCCGTCGCAGATGCTGGTGCGGTTGCCATGGCACTCGTCCGTACAGCCAAGTACAATCAGCTGCTCAATGCGGTTCCCCTGCAACAGCTCGATCGAGACGGCTACACTCAACGACATCTCTCCTCTCTCCCTTACTATGATACTGTGCGTCTTCAGCGTAAAAAAATACTGCCCACTTAAATACGTATATTGCAACTGTTGGGACATCTGACGCCTAACGAATTCAACTGCTCTGACTAGCTGCCCGACTCTCTGCACCCCGTTGTCCAGCATCTTGTAGAGATTCGCAAGCTTCCGATGGGTCGCGGGCAAGTGCACGTGCATGCTGCATCACACTCTCTGGAAATTCCTCAGCTGGCGCTCCACCGTCCTCTCCAACTCCGTCCTGGGCCCTGCTCCCGTCGGTTTGGTCCCCCCCGCTTTGATCAGCCCCAATGCGAAGGCGCTCTGGAAGGACCTCATGTCGACCGTGGGCACTTGAGCTGGGGGCCCCGTGGCCAGGTGGATCACCGCCCTGAGGTCGGGGCCCATGTTGAGTGAGTACCGAAGTTTTGCCTTGCGCTCCTGCTCTGGCGCTCCGTCTGGGCTGTAGCATTCCCTCAATCGGAACATCCTGAACAACTCGTCCACGCATGCTTTCCCGTACTCCTCTGGCCCTGCTGCTTCCATCCAAGACGCGAGTACTTTCTTGGAGTATCCCTCTGTCCCGTCGTCCCCGAACTCCTCGCGCATCGCCCCGATCACCCCCGCCGCTATGTGCACGTGAGGGGGGCCTAGCTTGTGTCCTTTTCCCGCTTCCTTTACAGCCTGGCGGCACCCCTGCCCAGCCTCGAAACCTTCTCGAATAATTGCGGCTGTGCGCGGGAGGATCCAGAACTCGGTGCACATGTTGACCATGTCTCTATGCTCTGCTGCGACGCGGAGGGTTAGCTTCTGGACAGTGACCAAGGCTTGCTGGAGTTCTGGGGCTGCGGCGACGTTGTCTGATCCCACTTGCTTGTGCCCTCTGCCCTTGCCACCTCCTCCTTTCCCAGACGTCTGCTGGCCCCCACTGCTACTGTCCGCTCCGCTGGCTCCTTCCACCGCCCTCTTCTTCTTCGCCGACGCCCAGGACACTCTCATCTCTTCCAAATCGTACAGTGTGCGGCCCAGGGTGGTGACACGTGACGCGCGTCTGAAAGTCCTCAAAACTGCTAGCTTGATACTGGCAGACACTACAGATCAGCTCACTCTCTCTTACCTCAATCAGCGTGCGTCCCCACTTCGAAAAAGCAACGTAGCAGATGCCCGCCCCCTCTGCCGCCCTTGCTGCATGATCCGTTGCCACTCTCTGACTGGAAAAGATCGATCTGCACCACGGGCACTGATTCGTAATTACAAGCTTAGGTATGAGCGGCTCTATCTTGTGCTGTACTCTCCTGTGTGCTGCCAGCGCTGCTGCTGTCCGAAATCTGCACCCACGCACCACGTCCGCCCCCTCTGAGTTCACGCTCCTATAGTCGCACCAGAATATTTTATCTAATTCCGTTGGGTTTACCTCCTCGGGCTCTTTGGTTTCGGTATGTGGCCTACTTTGTTTCCATTCCCTTGCTATGCTATTCAACACTGAAGGGTCAGTCTTAAGCAATGTCTCTTTTTCTTCGGTTCCATCAGTACATAAACTCATGTCGCTCGACCGTTTATCGTACCACTCCTGAAACTCTTCATCATTATTTGCAAGGTAGCGCATGTCCTCCAAGTGCTGCTTTGCCCACGGTGTGGGCTGTGTAATATTATTGTGCTCGTTGGTGCGCTTTATCCCTATGCTCTGGTCACTCTTAGACGCGCCGAAGACTGCTGCTACGACTGCCTCGTGGTCGTTCGGGAACTGCGACCAACGCTGGTACCATTTTAGCCTTCTAACTCTGAGCTCGTCTGCACTCCTGTTGATCCTCCACTCCCTGAACACTTCCTCCACCGCCGTTGTCCTCTTCCTTCCCTGCTCGTCAGTCCAACAGTCCTTTCCTCTCGACAGATATCTGAATAACTTACACAGCATGACGTCAATCGTGTCCGTGTACTTCTTACTTATGACAAAACAAGACAACCCGCTCAATGCTGCCCCCACAATGAATGCCATGAACATGTTTCGCTTGATCACCTTCGAGGTCTTGGACGACCAGAATGTGCTACACTGTCTCCACGCTGCTCTTGCTGCGTCGCAGCGCCTCCTTATTTCGTTTCCTAGTCCCTGGTCCGAAGGTATATAGGGCCCCAACACTCTCATCTCTCGCAAAGCCTCTCCCCTGAGTCCACTAGTCTGTTTCCTCAGTGCTCGCGTGCATTGGTAGCTTCTTTCACCTCGTAATACTAGAAGGTGGTTTGTCTTGTCAGGGTTGAGCCGCCAACTTCCTGCTGTCAGGGCCTCCTCGAGTCTACCACTTACCAGGTTCATCTGTTCTACCACTTCCTCTTTTCTTGCTGCGAAAGGTAGCATCGTTATTTTTGTAATATCGTCCATGAAGGTGCTACTGCTCAAGCCGTAGTACTTCTCATTTATGGGGTGCAGAGTGTCAGTCACCTGCTGTCCTTCCTGTTCCCTCTCTCCCTCTAGCCAGCCTGTGACGATTGGGTCGTAGCTATCATTGAAGTCGCGGGGAGCCAGCGTGAAGCCCATCTGGGCCCCTTTGTTGCTTTTCAGGTCAACCCTTCCGTCGGCTGCCTGTAGGGGCAAAGCAGTGTGCTCCGGCGCTCCATATGCGTACGGAATGTCATGCTCGTCTGTGGTGCGATCAATTTGCTCTCGGAGCAATGCTCTGTCGGTCGATGCGAATGCGTTTGTGCAGTCAAAATTGCTCATGATAAGCGATCTACCTGCCTGCTCACATCTCCACTTCGTGGCCAGCAATACTAGCACTGCATTTTCCCTTGACCTATGCGCCAGTCCTCCGCGTGCAAAGTGAGGTCGAGAAATATGCAACGCTCTTTTACGTATCCCACTGTGCCATGCCATGCCAGCTGCGCAGTACGCGTGCATGATACGCTTCCCCGCTATTCCTAACTTGTTGTTTGATTTCTCTGCTGCGAAGCTATGTGATCGTAGCATGTCTAGCGGCATTGTCTGGCATTGTCTGAAGTGCTCCATAATCCTCAGCAACATCTTCGGTGCATCATATTCTACTTCACTAAATAATGGCATTCCCACTCCCGATAGTTCCGTTCTACCAAACTGCCAATGTGGGTCCTCAATCACTTCTTGTGATGGCACTCCCTCTGCGCGCTGACGTGCTCCTACGGTTTCGCCTGGGTCCCAACCTAGCTTCTGCAGGATCTTTCTTCCTTTGGCTAGGATGTAGTGCGCGCTGTACTTCTCAAGCTCCTCCTCGCCCCCCTCCTTCTCCGATGCCCATATCCTTTGTGCTTCTAGTCTCTTCGTTTTCTCTGTTGGCCCAGACAAGTAGATATTTGGCTCGATCAGCATCCACACCATTTCCACTGGGAGACCCCACTCTGGATATGCACGTCGTTTTTTGCTTTTCTACAGTGCGCTTTCATGGCCTTAAGACCTTTCTGCACTCTGTTTTTTAAGCCACTATCCGAGGGGAGGAATGGAAAGTCACCGTCGCCCAGCTCGCAGTCATCTGCGTAGTCCTGCCTAGTCTTTTCCCAGTCGAGCGGGGTGCACGCCAGCCCTCCCTCATGCGGGTCACGACCTAGCTCCTCCCTCCACTGCTCGCCTGACCAGTGACAACGGTGGCTGAAGTAAAATCTCTTCTTTGGCCCTCGCCCGTTCCGCTGATATTCTACCCTTAGTCTGTGCATGTCAGCGAATCTGTTTTCTTTGTATGCCTCCCATATCTCTCGGACGATACCTTCCCGCTCTGCGGCCACATGTGCTTCCCTGAGCTCCTTCAGTGCTGCAGTCACTCTCTTCAGTTCCTCCTCCACCTTTGCCCTGCCGTTCTCAGTGCCCTCCTCGTGTAGTCCTTCCCTGTGCTGCCTCCCCTCCTCCAGTAGCTGCACCCCCTTCTTGCGCATCATGCTGTATGTGCTGCCATTGCTGCGCGCTCCCTGCTTGAACGCGCCGTGCAACGCCGCATTCACACACCCCACGTACTTTTTCCAAAGGAAATCAGGGGACCTCTTAGAATACAGCTGCTCCCAGATATATGTAGGTACCTTTTTTTATCTGTTCGTCTATCTTTGTGAATAACTCTTCTCTTCTGTAACCTTTCTGCAGGCACCTCATCAGGCACCCCCGATCTATCTTGTCATTGTCACCTGTCGGGTACCCGTGGTTGGTGATTGACATATCCACGTGTATGCCTATCGGGATGTGGTCCCTGAACCTCCTATCTGGGATCATCTGGAGTCTTGTTGCTGCTCTATATAGGCAGCTGCACTGAGATACAAGCGGGATGGCTCCAATGGGGACAGCCACGTGATCGATATGTGACTCTTGCCCCTTGGGGCCGTAAAAGGTGGGTCCGTGCTCGTAGAAAGTAGTTACCACTGCCAGCCCGTTCTTGTAGCAGAACTCTCTGTATGCCCTACCATTCTCGTTCTCGCAACACAGGTTTTTTCCTCCTAGGGTCACACTTCTTGTCCTCTGCATGGCGCCGTCCTCATCTCGATGTATTCCTTGTCCACTATTTACGTCCCCTCCTATTATGATCGCACATCTCACCCCAAGTGCATCCAGCTGCTGATCTATCCACCTGAATACTCTTTCTGCAACCAATGAGTGCTTCGCGTCACTCATCGGGGCGAGGTAGATACAGAAGGCCACGAAGTCAACTTCATTCGTCTGAATACGAATGCCGCCCACCCGCCCTCGTATTTGCACTGGAGGTACATATACAGTGTGCAGCGCTCGACTAGGAATCCGATTGTGTACCATGATCGTGGCCCCGCATGCGTCCGACACCAACTTTCCTTTCCTCTTCCCAAAGTGCACTCCCCAGTGTCGTGCGTGTGCATGCTGTTGCGCTCCGTGGTCGGGTTGTGCCACTTGACATGTCCCTGATACTAGCACTACGTCCCACGATCCCAACTCACTGGATATATCTCCGTGCCTCTCCTGCGATGCTGACAACGGGCTGTACGTGCGCACTTTCATCGTCAGAACAACTGCAAGAGTCCTCCCAACGCTTTTCATGCATGCAATATGCCTCCTGCAGGAGAGGGAGGTGAGGTACAGTATCCTCGCTCCTGATGTTTCTTTTTTCATTTCTTTTTAATTGTAGGGAAGGTTTCCTACCTTGGGAGCGGGCTCGCCCGCGCGCTGTGCACGTCTGAAACGGCAGATGAAGAGGAGGAGGGGAGGAGGAGGAGGAGAAGGAGGAGGAGGAGGAGAAGGAGGAGAGGAGGAGGAGAGGAAAGAGAGGAGAGTAGAGAGGGAGGAGGTAGGAGGAGGAGGAGGAGGAGGAGGAGGAGGAGAAGACGAGGAAGGAGGAGGAGGAGGAAAAGGAGAAGGAAGAGGAGGAGGAGGAGGAGGAGGAGGAGGAGAGAGGGAGGAGAGGAGGAGGAGGCGGAGGAGGAGGAGAAGCAGGGAGGAGGGAGGCGAGAGGAGGGAAGGAGGAGGGAGAAGAGGCAGGAGGAGGAGGAGGAGGAGGAGGACGAGCTGGAGGGAGAAGGAGCTGGAGGGAGGAGGCACGAAAAGGCAGAACGAGGACAAGGATTAGCGGGCGAGGAACGGTGCAAAATGAACTGCACTGGCCCGCCAGCGCTCCTGTCCCATGGCGGCTGGACACGTTACGCCCAGACGCACCGCCGTAGGGATGTAGACCTTCCAGCGGCCCTCGGACAAGCGCCCCTGATGACGCAACAAACAGTGTGCCCGCTAAGTGGACGACGACGACGACGACGACGACGACGACGACGACGACGACGACGACGGCGACGGCGACGGCGGCGTCGACGACGACGAT